TGGTAGGCATCCTACACGCCCGTAGTTAGTTGCGGGCACAGCAATTGCACAGTTGCAGCTATTTTTCTCTTTTGTCTCGTCGTGAGATTCTAGGTGGAAGGCGGAACGCTCCGCTACTCCACTGAAAGTTCACGCAATGGGAGACCACTGCTGGCCGCTGTTCGTTTGGCCTTTCCTAACCATTCCTCCCCATGATTTTCTTGTATTACGGTCTGTTTCAGCTCCCCTTCCGTCTAGGTTACAAATCTACTAGCTGGGGAGAAGTTGCAGAAAGGCTCTAGCAGCATAGCAGCATAGCTTACCAGCAGCCACACCAATTCACTGCGCAGGCAGCCAGACAGGACTTCAAGTAAGGCCCTCTAGCTAGTATGGGGCTCCCACGCAGCAGAAGGGCAAAAATTAGGTAAAACCCGCATCAAAATATATTCTTCGTCCTGACCATGAAAAAAATATAAACTTGCTGCGGGCAGGCCATCGGCGCTTTAGTAAAAAGGGCACGGGGAGCCCTGCGCGTCGGCTGCAGTACCTGTGGTGCGTAGCACTACAATGTCGCTCCAGCACAACCCATAAGGTTGGGACATTTAATATTATACTCACGAATCATTCTTAGAAAGTTTATAGTTTGAGAAGCCTAGCTGTTGCAGCGGACTTCGCAGGGTGTTTGGGTGGAAGGCCACAGGTCGGGGCTACCTGTGTCAAGTATGTAGCGGACACGCATACCGAAGCATACGCAAGTCCTGGGTGAGGACAGAAGAATAGCAGATTTGGGTATATTTGGATTGCTCAACCGTAGATGGGCCTGAAAGTAGCGGGAAGAGTAATCATGTAAAGGGGAGGCGAGGCCGCGCTCAGTACGGTGCCCACCACTAACCACTGAAGCTCCAGCACGCTGTTTTGGAGAGCATCAGTTTTTAGAACAAGGTATCGCATATATTAATATTTATTATTTCAATGGTCCTAGCTCGTGAAGGTGAAGACACGCTCGGATTCTCCGCGACCTGTACGTGGATGCCACAAAAAGCTAGGAGCCTCACAACAACAGAGCGACAGTACCAGCAACAACATCTGCAGCCATAGTGAACAGTAGTGACAGCCGCATGGAAAGCGTTGCCAGAGAGAGTTGCAGCGCATTCGGGGGCGAGAGGCAGCATCAGCGTTTGATGCCAGTCCGTGGTATACCCCCCAAAGCGGTGGCGTGCGAAGGCGAGAATCAGTGACGCAGTGGAGATCGGAGTCTGCTGTTTGCCGCCAGATCTCTGAGGAGTTTTAGGGTTCGAGCGACGCAGCATGAAAGATCCTGCCATGCGGCATGCACTGACAGAAGCGCCAGCTGACGCAGCGCAGCAACAAGACGAACAGCTGCGAGCAGCCCACCGTCAAGAGAGGCGAAAGTAGCGCATCCATCATCAGCTATGGCAGATGAAGACTTTTTCTCCCTTCTCCTCAGCAACCATATTGGGGGAGGAAGCGGGATGCCCCCTGACGAGCTACAGCAACAACAACTGCTCCTGCAACGTCGCCAACGTCGACTTCAGCAGCAGCAGCTTATGCAGCAGCAACAGCAGAATACCAGCACTAGCACTAGGGAAGGACGAAATGAAGAGGGCATGACTCAATGCCATGCCAGGCTTGATCGCCGCGCACGATCAGCTGTTCGCGCAAACGCATCAGAAACAAATGGTGAGCGCTGGAGTCCACTGCAGCGAATACAGGCGAAAGTGCTGGGAGGCCAGCAGCATCAGGGGATGGAGCCGCTCACGGAACAGAGACGCAAGTCGCGATCGAAACGGCAACACAAGCAGAACACGGGGGGAAAGCAGCAGCAGTACCTGCAGCTCTCAAATGGAGGGGAAATTCGCCATTGTGCAAGAGAATCCCATTGGATTATTCACAGCGACAGGAAAAGCGGCCGCGGCAGCACCTCAAGCATAAGTGGCAGCAGCGCCCCTGGCATAAGTGGCAACAGCAGCTGCACTTCCAGAAAATCGAAGTGCTCGAGGCAAACGGAGGCAAATCGCCGGTGGAGGTTCAGGAGCAGCAGCTGCACAGGCAGTGCACTACACTGCAGCAGCGAAAGCAGTTACAGTAGGAAAGGAAGCAAGGGTAGGTGCCAAGATGGAGGCTGCAGGCCCTGCAGAGACAGGAGGGATGACAGGAAAGCTCCTGATGAAAGTTTGACTAGGAACCAGATAGAGTCAAGCAGCATCGATGAATGCAGTAGCAGCAGCAGCAGCAGCAGCAGCAGGCCATGCCACAGCAGTCGCCGTACTCGAACCTGCTCTAATTCCTCAGCCTGGAAGAAACAGAACCATCGACGAGAGCCGAATGTAGAACAGCCAGAAGAGCTGCTGCAATGCCGACAGCAAAAGCTGCACCAACAGGATCACAACCAGCTCCAACGTCAAAGTGACAGGAGCGGCAGTAGCAAAGATTCAGTTGCGTCCTTGATCTCCCGCAGTCGTCGCCTTCTGTTAGGAAACGCTTCGAGACTTCGAGAGCGACGGCAGCATCAGCACCCATTGCATCAGCAGCAAGAAGAACATCTGCGCCGAGAACAGTTGCCGCAACATGTTGCGCTGCAGCCAAAGGAGTGCATTCAACAAGAACGAAAATATCCAGCGCGGCAGAAACGCAACAGCAGCCTCAGCAGTACTGGAACAAATACAGTCAACAACGACAGCGACTTCAGGAATCGCAGCAGCAAACTGAACCTTTTCACAGTGCCCTACCACCAAGGCAGGGACACGCAGATGCCTGCCAGAGTCCAGGAGCCGCAGCCACAACAACACAATCTAAAGCTGCTGCAGCGTCAAGAGCCATCCCACCAAAAGCAACAGGAAAAAAGTGGAACAAAACTTCGAGAGATGGAAGATGCAATACAGCAGGCAAGGCTGCTGCTGCTACAGCAGCAACAACAACAGCTCCAGGAGCTCCAGGTGCAGCAGCGGCTCCTGCAGCAACAACAGCTGCAGCACCAAAAGGCCGAGGCCGAGTTAAGAGAAAGGGAACACCAGCTCCAGCAGGCCGAGATCGCGCTGCGTTCGGAGCGACGGCAGCAGCAAGGAGCAAACAACATGCGACAGCAGCGTCGTGCTGTGGCAGCAGCAGCTGCTGTTAGCGTGCTTCAGCAGCAGCTGCATTTGCTCCGAGTTTTACTACAACAAAATCTACGAGACGCTGCAACATGGATAGAGGGCAGCCTAACGCGATTCAAGTCTATTTGTGACAGACAGGCAAGCTAATTTTTCGGCTTGGATGTAAAAACTGCAGATTTGAATCATCGAGCTGAGGCGCTGCCCTACGTTGGCTTGCTGTTGGTGCTGAGTCAGGTTGGAGCAGCTGCAGCAGCAGCAGAAGCGGAAGCAGTTGCGGCTCACAACCAGCAGAAGAAGCACCTACAGCAACGCATTGCCGTACTTCAACTTGAGCTGCAGCAGACTGCGGAAGCCAAGCAGGAGCAAGAAGCTCTCGTGAGCTGCCGAGCTGATTCCTCGACGCGGCCTAATGAAGATTAAATGTATTATTTGCCAATTGCACTGACGACGTCTCAAGACTAAATTCTCGAATTTTGAATTTGTGTCTTAGGTAGAAGCGCTGCGAAGAGAGAAGGAGGAACAGCGTCACGCAGCAGCAGCAGCAACAGCTGAGCAGGTCAAAGAGAGCCTGCAGCAACAGCAGCTGCTCAGACAGCAGTTCCAGAAGCAGATCACGGAGCTCTCTAGTGTTCACCAGAGGCAGCTGCAGGAAGCGCAGCAGCAACACGAAAAGAAGCTGCAGCAGCAGCTAAACAAGCACCAGGAAACGGCGAACAGCGAAAGAGGACAGCTGCAGCAAAAGCTGCAGGAGCTTCAACAGGCGCTTGAGACTATCAAGCTACAGAGGGAAGAGGTGCATTCCTCTTAGCCCCGGTCCTTCAACTCAGGATTGCTGTAGCTGCTGCAGCTGTAGACCTCATCACCGCGGTTGTGATTTCTGATTCCTAGTATGCTCCTGCGATTTTTTGTATGCAGGAAAGGGCAAAAGAAGAGCACCAGCATCAAGCGAAGGCAGCCGAGTTAAGAAAGTTGAAAACGTGCAACAATCTTCTGCGTGAGCAAGTACAACAGCAGGAACAGCAGCTGCAGCAGCATCAACAAAATCTGGGGCTGCTGCAGCAGCGAGCCGAGAAGGAAGTGCAGCAGCAGCGCGAGAAGCAACAGGAGCACGAACAGCAAATGATGCAGGCTGTGGAACAGCTGAATGCTGCGGTTTCCCACAAAGAGGCAAGAATAAAGAGTCTGCAGGAGGAGACCGAAGCTGGTAAACTCCAGCTGGAAAGGTAGCTAATCCTATGGTTTTAAATCCTGGAGCAGACGACTATGACCTTGGCCCTACACCCCTGCTGAGTCACTCAACAATATCGGCAGCAAGCCATACCACAATTTCCTACGTGTTTCCTCTTCCCCATTAGGGTGGGAATGTCTGTACGATGTTTGAATATACTGGTGTCAGTAGTGCTTTGCCTGCTTTTTTTAGAGAGAGGCAGATGGTGTTGCTTCAATCAGAAGAGCTCGAGGAAACCCGCAAACGCCTTGCTGCTGCAGTATCGCAGCAGCAACAGCAACAGCAGGCACTTCACGAACAGCAGCAGCAGCTATTGCGAATGCAAAGGAAGCAGCAGCAGCAAGAGGAGGATGCAGCAGCACTGCAACAGCAGTTGCAGCAGCTGCATCGACAGAACGAAGCAGCCGAACGGGAGCATGAGGACAGATACGCTGCGCTCCAAGTATGTTGATGTGGCAGCAGAAGTGGCTGTTGCTGGGGCTGCTGCTGAGCTTGCAGAGCTTGATGGCTTCCTCATTTCTGTTTCGGGACGATGCGCCGCTGTAGCCGTTTGCGTATCAGGCTGACATTCCACAAACACTTTCGCTGTTACCCATGCTGTCGCGAATGAGACCAGACACCGGTACAGTTGGCGCAAACAAAAATAAGTTTAGGCTCTGCTGACTCATGCAGGCTGAATCAAGCCAAAGATTGCAGCAGCTGCTGCAACAGGAACAGCAACTCCGGCAGGAAGTTGCAGCGCAACGCATGTTGCTGCGGAAGGGCAACAGTAGCAGCGATGAGCTGCTGCTGGCAAAGCACGAGCTTACTACCCTAAAGCATGAACTGCAGGTCATCTACTTGTGACTAGCGCTGCCACTGTTGTATTTCTTGTTGCTGCTGTTACTTTTTGCTGCTGCCACACCTCCATGCAAGGTAGATGCATTGCTTCTTTTGCCCCAGCACCGTTGGGAAGACTGCCAAAGCCCATGGAAGCTTGTTGTTGCTGCCTTTGCAGGAGTTGTTAGCTGAGGAAACAGGGAAGAGGGAAAGCTTGATGCAACAAAATGAGCAGCAAAAGCAACAAATCGCCACGAAGCAGCAGCTGCTGCGCTGCCTCATGCAGGAGAAAGCTGGCCTAGAAGCCCAGCTGTCGCAGGTACAGCAACAGCAGCAACAGCAAAAGCAACAACAGGAAGACGCGTGCAAAGAGCACGTAGCACAAGCCTTACAGCTGGAGAAACAACGAGAAGAAGAGAAGCACAGAGCTGAGCAGCTGCAGCACAAGTTGGAGCAGCAGCAGCAGCAGCTACTCCTGCAGCAACAAAAGCTTGATTCTCTTTCTGTAAGCCACTTCAGCCTGCACTCCTCCCACTATTTTTGCCACTAGTCTCTATGCCCCTTTGTCTCATACTGTCAATATTTACCATCAACTTGACTAATTTTACTGTTGGTCCCTCAGCGCGAAAATGAGGAGAAGCATCAGCAGCTATTATTGCTGCAGCGGGAACAACTAGCCCTGCAAGCGCGCCTAGAAACTGAATCAGCAGAAACAACGAAGCTGAGAGATACACTATATGCCGCTCAAAAGACCGTCCAAAGACAGCGGGACCAACTGGTGGTGTTGCAGAAGGCATGCATGCGTCGAGGAGACAGGGTGGATAATGAACTCTTGCAGCTGACAAATTCAGTACAGCCAGTGGCGGAAATAACAGCAGCTTCTGATAATGCAGTAGATGCACTTGTTGAATCGCCTGCTGATCTGTACACGAAAGCAGATAATGCTGCAGCGTCTCTGGTTACTCAAGAAGGTGCGACGTCAACGGACACGGCACGAAGTAACAGCAAACAGCTTGCTGTGCCGCTGGAGATGTTTTCTCTACCAGAGGCTAACGCCGTGCTGCAGAACAGCGGACAGAAGCAACAACAGAAGCACAAGCAACAGACCAAGCAGAGCCGCCAGAGCAGTGCCGATACTTGCGACAGTGAACTGCACCCGAACTACAGCAGCAGCAGTAACAGCAGCAGCAGCATGCAGGCCTTGCAAGAAGATCAGAGCATGTCCAGCAGCAAGAGCTCCGCCAGGACAAGCAGCGCAGCAAGCGACACCAGCAGCTACAGCAACTCCTGTAACAGCGAATGCGATAGTTCTTTCAGCTTCTTCCGCGAGAGGACCGAACCCATCTGCAGTGACAGCAGCTCGAGCAGCACAAAAGAACAGCAGAAGCATATGCAACCTGGAGACACACCACGGTTTGGTCCTGCAGCGCAGTTCCTGCAAAGACTGGTCAAAGCGCGGCGCACCAGCAACACCGGGCAGCAGCAGTGGCAGCAGCGGAGAGAAACAGCCTCAGGATTCAAATATAGTTCTAACATTAGCAGCGAAGAACTAAAAAGCAGCAGTCACCTTGGGCTACTGCAGAAGGCGCTCAGTGAACTTCGGAGCTCGACACTGGCTGCGAGGAAACGTATACGGGAGCTGCAACTGCAGCAGCAGCAAGTAAGCGTCCATGCGCTATACGAAAGCAGCATCGGCCTTGTTTGTAGAACGACAATCGCTCGTAGGCAGCAAAGGGATATCTTTGGAGTGTTTGCTCTTTACATTTCAAAGTACTTCGCCGACTTCGTGAGACTGCATGTTGAGGTTATTACAGTCATGCTGTGGAGGTAACCTTGGGGAATTTGATACTGCAGAAGCAGAGCGCTTCAAGGCCCAGAGGCTGTGCGTAAATGCCTGTCCATGTCTTCAGGTGGCAAAGCAGCTCCAGGAGGTTGAATGGCAGCAGCAACGGCAGCAGCAAGAAGAGGCCAATGCATATGAACAGCTCGCGCAACAATCTTGCTGCTGCGAAATAGCTTACCAAGACCTTCTGCAGCAAACAAGTCGTTTTGCTACTGCCATCCGAAATAAGCAAAAGCTTGAGGGTGCCGCTCTTCTGGCTGCTACAGAGGACCCTGCAGCTAACGCAGAAGGCATAGTACCCGCACTGACAGAAACAGTGAGTGACGGTATAAACGGCCCTGTTAGAGCTTTCATTGACGCTGCAGTAGACGCGGAACAGGAGGAGGCGCTGCAAGCGCTGCTGACAGCAGCAGACAGAGACACAGTTCGCGCCGCCACTCAGTACTGGACGAGGGAAGCAGCCATGTGAGCGGTTCATTGATTAAATGCCTTGCTCTTGCTTCGCTTAGACCATGCTACTTCATTTCATGTAGAGCATATTTGCTGCAACTGCTTCACCGTCCCGCTGCAAGGGGTTCTGCTGCAGTGATTGCCTCTGCCTTTCCTCCTGCAGCGCTAGGTGGATACTACAGCGAGCTCATGCGGAAAGAGACTCAGCAGCGAACAGTAGGCAGAAATCGCAGCTGCAGCTGCAACAGCTGCAGCGGCAAACCGAATCAGGAAGACTTCAGCTGCAGCAGCTGCAAAGGCAGAAACTCGCTTTACAGTCAGAGGAGACGTTTTGCAGAAGACAGCTAAGAAGTTTGGTTAACAGGGAGCAGCAGCTTCTGCTGACCACTTCCCACAAAAGTTGCAGCACGAGAAATCGCAGCACTGTGCCTTTTTTCAGTGAGCGTGCATTGTCCCTCGGCAGCAGTTGCAGAGCGGGCGCTAACCGAAGTGCTTCAGCAGAACCGTCGAGCGGCAGTGGTAGCGCACCCCCTCAATCCGTAGCTACTTCTGCTGCTTCCCTTTTGAAGGAGAGAGGCAACACGGGCAACACCAGTTTGCAGGCCCTAAGTTCGCTGGAAAAACTACTCCAGCACCACAGCATGCTATCCTTATCGCCCTCACTGAAGAACTGGAACTCAGAATCGGCAGCAGCAGCAGAAGAAGTGAAAATGGCAAGTGAAAGTCTTCACAACAAAGGCTGCTCTTTCTGGGTGCACCTAGAGGAAAGCGCAGGTCTGTAGCTGCAGCAGATGGTACTACTGCAGCAAAAAAAACTGCAAGAGCCGAACTAGCATCTGTGTTTACTTTGCTTAGCATGCACCGCTGCAGCTTTTCGCTCCTAAATGGAATGAATCGCGCTGCTTTTCTCGGTGTATCCTGAGCATCCGAGATAAGTGTATGCTCGAGCTGCACTCGTACTGATTAGATAGGCTGCTGTGAGGCCCATCTTAATTCTGATAGAGGACAGCCGCTGCAGCAGAAGCTCTTGCAGCAGCAGCGGAAACAGTTCAAGCCGATTCTGTTGCAAAGCCTGTTCGTTGCTTTGAGTCACTACGACGTCTGTTTATGAGGCAACCCAGCAAGCGAGCCAAGGCTTGTCGTGCTGTCGCTTCCCTGCCTGCTGAGTATTCGTGGTGACTGTAAGGTTCGTTCTGTTGCTGCTGATGAGCTTCATGCTCTTGCTGCTGCTCCTCTTTCCGCAAGATGCCTGTCACGTCGGAGGCTCTCAATATGAAGTTTACTAGAGGCGCTTCTTGCTGAGGTTTCGCCGGTGCACTAACTGATGCTTGTGATCGGCATACAAAGTATTCTTCTGCCACTTCACTTGTTGCGCACACACAATTTGCAGTCGTCTCCTCTTCATCAGCCAAAGCTGCGGCGGCAGCAGCAAGAAGATGCTGCTGAGGAGACATGAGGAGACTATCCAAGTCAACAAGAGGCAGAGAGGGGGAGCGAAAACACGGGGTTATGGGTGGGTGCAGTGCTGGCCTCAGGGTAGGGAACGGTTGTAGCAACGTGGGCTTAATTGGCTCTAGTGGTTTATCTATGGGATTTGCCTTGACCTGCTTCAGCAGCTGCTGTAGATGCTTCAGCAGCCTAGGTTGCACAGCAAAGCTCTGTTGCTGGTGCAGCGAACGGAAGTCATTAGAGGCGTCTGGAGGGGCGTCTAGGCAAGGCTGAGGCAGCAACGACATAATTTCTGTGTCAGTTTGCCGGGTATATTTCCTTACTGCAGCTGCTGCTTCTGCTGCACTCGGCCTCAGCTGCTGCAGGGAGATACGGCCAAGCAGCAGCTGCACTAGCAAACGCACCAAATCTGCGTTGCTGTAGAGGCTTATGTATGGGTCCTGCAGCAGCCTGCTGCTGCCACAAGCGACAACAAAGCCTCCGCCAGCAGCAGCTGCCGCGGCAATCAAGGGACGCTGAGAAGGGCTGCAACAGTTACTGCTACAAAGCAGAGGAACGGCAGGGTGCTGCACGTACACGCTGGATCCGTATGGGTAAATGAATGTGGCCTTACTGCCACTTGTGTGGCCTTGCTGCTGCTGTAGCAGGTGTTGCATGTTGGCCCCTACGAGTTGCTGCTGCTGGAGCACCACTTCTCTCGGATGGCAGACTCCGCGCTGTTGCTGCTGCAGCGTAGGAGGGGTGACGGCAACGACAGAGTCTGCAGCCAGCGAGAGGCCCATCTCTTCAAGCAAAAAGTTCACGTTGCTGCTGCTGCCGCTCCCACCCAATACGAGGATGCTACGGGCTTGACGTACACTTGCCGTTGTTGCCGTTGTCGTAGCTTCCGTGGGGAAGCAGTCTGATTTTACTGTTTCTGCCTCTGCTGCGCCCTGAGAGGGCATCTTTACAGTATCTGCTGCTGCAGCGTTGTCGCTTGACGCGGCGACCGAAGCATCGCCCATCGGTATAGCCTCCTGACTCTGAACGCCAACAGGAGCGGCTGCCGAGTGAGTAGCTGCGTCGGTTTGAGAAGTTTGTAGAAACAGTTTTAGACACGTGAGCTCGTCGGCAGTGAACGGCTTGCGTGGATTGCCAACGATTAATAATGACACTCCGTGCCGCTCTAGTCTTGCGAGGTTAAGTAGGGATTTGTTCACAACACATCTGCAGCCGAGCTTTTTCAGCAAACGACAGCAGCGAGTAAGCGAGGGGTCGCTTGGATCAACTGTCTCCCCTTTGGACACGTCAAATGCAACCACGACCCTTTGCTGCTCTTGCTTTTGCCTATTCTGCGGCTCCTCCGGCATGACAGAAGGCGCAACTTGCTTGGTGTGTGAACGCAACATTTCGCAAAACGGCAGCTGGCATCCCCGGCTGCTTTCCCTAGCCCATCAGTGTATAGTTCAGGGCTCTTATCCTGCTGTCGCTTTCAAGCGAACGGCTCAGATGGTCAAGAAGTTGTAGGCAATGTATTCCCTGTTCCCTTACCTGTGCTGCCTTGTTCCCTTCCGCTGCTCCCAAAAGCTCTGCCCTCGCCCTTAATAGCCTTGGTTTTGAGCCAGACTCCTGAGTTATGATGTTCCTAATCGTGTCTTTTTCGTATTGTGCATCTGCGTCGTGACGCCACATCGCACCACGGCACCGCGTCGGCGTCTGGTGCCCGGCGTTCTATGTCTCTCTGTGGCCGTCTGGCCCCCTATAAGTACTACAATTACACCTGTTTTCTTGTGCCTTCCTTTCTTATTCTTCCTTGTCTTGTACCTGCTGCCCTTGTTTTCCCTCTAACAAGGTTCCTGTCTCCTCATTGGTATCTCACTGTCCCTCAAGTTATGGGCTCTTTGCTTCTCTGCACTTCTATTTTATCGCTGTAGTTTCTCTGTAAGCTCCCGTATCACTGCTCCCCTTTGACTGGCTTCACTAAGCATTCGAACTGCTCCTACTGTTCCATGCAGTCTCCCCTGCTCTCGCAGGCCCCAAAAAGTGTACGCCACGCCAGAGCACAAGAAAACATGGCAGCCTTCACAGCAATAAAATGGTATATAGAAAGAAGCATATGCTCAGTTACTCGCAGTAGATGTTGCTGCCGCGGTGACCGGACTTCGCAGCAGCAAGCAGCAGCAGCAGCAGTAGCGCGAACAGTTTCCTGCCACCACGCAGGGCGGCGGAGGTTCTCATGTGCTGTCTACACTTGGTTGCCGGCGCTGTGTACTTTTGTTGTTTCTTCTTAATTTGGAATGATGAGCCGGGATGGAGAATGCTGGCAATTGAAACATTACCTGCTCCGTGCCGCGCTCATGGCACCGCTTGCGGCAGGAGCAACACCTTGTCAAATCGCTGCAGTAGCTTTTGAATTCTGTGCAAGATGATAAAAGGCAGTCAATATTCCGGTCGCCACCGAATGGCTGAACTGGATGCTCGCTCCACTGATGTCTCCCGCATCGTCCTAAGGCGCCTCTGAGAGTGATGTAGCTATGGTGCCCCCGCTCCATACCAACCTTCTCTTTGACGCTGCAACCGTGCCGGACAGTTAAGTCGACGTGGGCAAATGTAACAGTGACAATAGTGAGTGCGTCGGCAGCAACGGGGTGAGTCATGCCAGTATGCGCAGCATTTGGAACAGGATGGATTATGGCGATGTGCGCAGCAGCAGCAACGTTCGCAGAAACTTGCACAGCAGCAGCAACGGTCGCAGAAAGGTACACAGCAGCAGGAACTGGATGAGTAGCAGCGTATGCGCAGCAGCAGCAACCGAATCGTTGGTCGCGGTAGGTTCCGCGGCAGCAACGCGATGATTGACAAAAGTAGGCGCAGTGTCAGCAACAAGAATAGTGAATGATTGCAGTAGGCTTAGCAGCATTAACGAGAAGAGTGGCAACAGCAACCATGGGAACAGTGAGAGCAGTGTCCGCAGTATCACTAATGGGAAGAGTGTCAGCACTCTTCGTGGTTTTGACTGCGTTGCTTACGGCTATTCTTGGTGTCGGTGCTGTAATATCATATGCGGATGTCCTTTACTGCCGCTTCTCTCGTGTGGGATATTTGTGCTCCGGCTGCTTCAGGCGCAACTGTGCTTTTTGGTTTTGTTCACTGTCCTTCAACTGCTGCTTTTTTGCTTATGTTGCTGCTGCTAAATTGCGGCAAATGCAATAGCTTTCGGAGCGTAATGTTGGCAACTTAACGGAAACTGCTCGGTCTGTCTCCGCAGTTTTCCTGTGTTCTAGCTTCTGCCAGCGATATCTATAGATGTACCTCTGGCGCCTACGTGCTGCTAGTGGACGTGTCCTGCCTTTATCCCACATCTCTACGCAGAATGTTATGTCAGAGCTGCTTCGGTGGCAGTTCTAGCTGCTTTGGCGCGCACCAATGTCTCTCGTTTCCTGTGATGCGCTGAGTTCTCCGAATCCATGCAACTCGGAGCGTATTCATTTGGCTGGGTCTTTTCTTTGGTTGTCACTCGTCACCCGTAGAGTTGCACATGTTTTTGGTACGCTGTTTCTTCTCTTCTGTGCCAATCCACTCTTGGCTCTCTTCTCTATCCGCATCTGTTAATTTTACATCTATGTATGGCGATGCGGGCGATAGGTTTCTCACCGAAGTCTGTCAAAGTTGGGGAGGGCACCACAGTGTTCTTAGTAGGAATTAGCAAAGTATTTTGGTTATTCAAAAAAGAAAGCTTCAGTTTTAGTGCTCCATGGTGCATTCGTACTGGCATGCGCGTGATTCGCACGAAGACATACAGCTGTCCTGCCCCTGTGGAGTAGCGTCGTCGCTAGAAAGTTGCTTTTTTTTTGTCTGTACACCACGCATCTGCACTATTGGGAAGTGATAACCTTAGTTCACTGCCTTAAACGGTAGGCTCGGGGACGACAAAACCAAATCCTCCGCGTAGGCATTGCGCGGTCGCTCCCGAACATTCTTGAGAGGAAACCAAGATATCGTGGCACCCGGTTTCCACACTCGTATGGCCGGTCCTCAGCTCAAATATCAACGCGCAGCTTGATGAGTTTTCCAGACGAGATTGTGTCACGTCTATCCTGCCCTTCAGCCCCAGCGCCAAACGACTCTTTTCTCCACGGGTATTGTTGTAGGCGACAGCTGTGGGGGACGTGCAGGCAGCGAACGCCACCGGTCTCTGGCGCGCAGGCTCTTGAGCACTCACAAACGGAGTTAAGTTATAGTGAAGAGAATGGACAACAGATGTTGTGATGGGCTTTTGGCAATGTGATGCGAGGCTGTTTGCTATGGATCTACGGAGCTCTACGGGCAGTTGGACACAGCACAGTTGAGACTG